ACAATGAATAGGCAAGCTTATTGAAGCAAAAATAACTAACGAGTTAACGAAGTACTTGAATAAAGCAATCTACTTCAAACCGAAAGTTTCGTCGTTTTAAACCCTTTTTAATTATGCAGCTGAAATAACGCAGTTTAACGCTGCTGATTTGCAGGATAAAAGGCCAAGTAGCAAGATGACTCCAAACTTACCATCTTCTGCATAGGAATTTTATGTTTTCAAGTTAATACTATTCATAATCGTCTATTATTGGCAACATGCCTAGTGTAGCAAAGCTCGTAAGGACATTGCACGACAGTCAGGAATCATCGAGTTAAATTATTACAGTGGAAAACAGCTATATAGTGAGGAAAATACATTAATAGTCGGTAAGAAAAAAGTGTCTTCGTAGGATAGATAAGTGATTAGAACTTTCTTCGTACTAACGATTGACAGGCATCAATTTTTTCGCGTAATCAATCGCACAGAGCGTTTCTACTTTGACCAATGAAGTAAAAAATTATAGCTTTGGCTCAACATAAGAAAGCAATACGCCCATGGTTTTGCGCCATAAATCGTGTAAAATCAATCCATATAAAAAACGGCTAAAATATTTGAAAGAGAACCGCAATTTCCGGAATAAAATTTTCAAGCTCAAGATTTAAGTGCTTAGATAACACAGTGAAAAAAGCAACATACTTTGCTAGTCATGCAAAAAGTATTTTGATGTTTTGCTACGCAGGGCGTAAGGCTTATAGTAGCGAAATACGGATGGCAGACCTAAAATATCTTAGGCAAAAGATGACAAGTTTTAAATAATCTTTACTCTTGGCCTTTGATCCTGCACATCAGAAGTGTAAACTGCGTTATATCAGCTGCATAGAGGCGTCTAAAATAATTTTGAAAAAGGTTTGGCTAAAGTAGAATGTTTTATCTAATTACTACCTGAAGTGTTTTTTTTTTGGATAACCCCCCGAACATAACTGTTTTCTTCTTCTTCTTCTTTTTTTTTTTTAATTATTGTCTACCGTTATAACGTATTTAACTCCCTCCTTGCAACACTGAACAAAGACGCGCTTTTATCAAAAAAAAAAAACTTAAGCGTCTATGAAACAAATATCATTGTTCTGTGATAAAGTTGCATACTGTTTGGAAATAATGATGCTACGTTGCTTTTGAAAACTGTTAGATTTCCTGATGCCAATTGCTAATCGATGTTAATAGCTATGCTGTTCAGATAGTGACTCTATTCCTTGCAATGACTGTGACAACGAATACATCGGACAGACCAAACGTCAGTTTGGTACACGTTTAAAAGAGCACCAAAAAGCGGTTTTCCTTTGCAAAAAGGAAAATTCAGCTTTATCGGAGCATACATGCCTAACTAACCATACAATTGGGTGGGATAATTCTAAAATTATCACCACTAATCGGCGTTACCACCAGCGCCTTTGTTCGGAGGCTTGGCATATTAACTCCGCCCACGCTCCTTTCAATCGTGACGATGGCGGTTTGCTTTCTGACGCCTATTTACACCTCGTCAGAAAAAAGGCCGCTAATTAGCGGTCATATAAAAGGACCTCTTGTTGCAGCGTTTAGATCACCCCTGATGAAGGCCCTAGACAAGAGTGTTGAAACGTTGGGTCTATGAATTGTAACTTCTTCGGTTACATTCATTAAATCTGTAAACCAGAGTAGCATCAAACCATGTGTGAACTTTAATATGTGACTATAAGTTATAACTTAGCATGCCATTAAGATACAGACGAAGGGATTCATTTTCATGTGACGGTTCGTTAGCTCCGGAAGTTGATGTCCTTTTTTGTACTATTTTTGCTTCAATAAGCTTGCCCATTCTTTTCTGGCTGACATCTGAGTAATGAGAAAGAGACAAGTGCTTGTTAGCATTATCCATTCAAAAGAGAGGCACGTAGGCTAGCTTCTTAGTCACGTTAGCCGAATTAAAGTTTGTTTCTGTAAAGAAAAAAACCTTGTTCATGTAACAGCATTTTGAGTTTTATTTCTGCAGAGTGAAGCTTTTTTTTCATTGAGCAGTGGAGGGTAACAGTATACAATCTCGTGCATCGAGACATACATGATCATTACTCACGATAGTCAGGAACTCGGTATTAAATCGCGTAAAACTGCCACAGAGCAAAACAGCTCTATTTTGAGAGAAAAACAATAATCGACGAGCAGAACTGTCTTCATGGGAATGATAGACGAGCAGTCACGATAGTCAGCAATTACTGGATCACGTAAAAAAATGGATTATAAGATCACACTGTTACCGCCCACTGCCCATTGACTAAAAGGCATCACTGGAAAGAGTTTCGTTTTGGCAAAGCTCTGCAGAAATGAAACTGAAATGTTGTTCATGTATAAGGCTTTTCTTGTGCGGAAATGATTTTAACTCAGCTAACATGGCTGAGAAGCTAACTTAAGAGCTTAATACTAACAAGTACTTGTTTCTTTCTGAAAATACCTGGAGGTCATTCAGAAATAAGTATGCAAGCTTATTGAAGCAAAAATAGTACAAAAAAAGACATCAACCTCTGGAGCTAACGAACTGTCACATAAATAATGAATTACTTTGTCGGTTTCTTAATGGAATACTACGTTATAACTTAAAACCACTGTTTTGCCTGATCAGTATAGCTTTTATATCGATTAAAAATTGGCATCGGCAAATCTAACAGTTGTCAAAAGCAACATAGCATCATTATTTCCAAACAATATGCGACTTTATCACTGAACAATGATATTTGTTTCATAGACGCTTAAGTTTTTTTTTTTTTTGATAAAAACGCGTCTTTGTTCAGTGTTGCAAGGAGGGAGTTAAAGGCGCACCAATGGAAGACAAGAACATCAGGACTCGAGGGAAAACAAAACTAATTAGTTTCCTGAGGTACCATATATTAAGTGCTTTGTTATATATTTAGACTTTCCCTTCAAAAATCATGTGGCAAAAACATGCTGTTGTTTTCAGCGCGAGGGCAACAACTGCGCGATTGTACCCGGTCGGGATACATTTGATCAGGGGCACGTCACCAAGAATCAACCAATCACAGTCCTCGTTTTGTTGAATGAAAGTCTAGGTATATAACAATACGTTAATATATAGATGTAGCCATGTCTAAAAGCGGTGCTCTTGCTAATTTATTTTCCAGCCCTTCATTATACTGAATAAAAACTGTAATAAAACTCTACAGCACTGGCTTAGGAGTTTCTTCAAGGGGAATTAGAGACCAGTTCGGAGGGTGGGGAGGTGGGGAAAGAATTGACGAGGTCTGGAACCTGGGGACGGCGAATACTAGTCAGCGGTATCTTCAAATAGCTGTGGACCTTCGTTGTTCTTCCTGATGTCTTGAACAAATTTTCGAAGATAGGGAATGTTTTCATCTTCAGGTGAAGTGTATGATGTCAGCATCAGTTGAAATTGTTTTGTATTGAGCGTGACTTAAAATTTCGGTTTATGAAATGAGCCAAAATCGAAAGAAACGACGG